GAATATTCCATTTAAAAGACATTGGGAATATTTCATTAAAACGTTGAGAATATTTCTTGAAATATTGAGAATATACCAAAAGAATATTTCCGTGAAACCTGCAAATTCCAGAAGAATATTGCATTTATATTTTTGGAATATTAAAATGTCCGAACTTCGAAATATTCTTATGAAATAATGTTCAAATAGTGCATTAAAATATTCCCATAATATTCCAATTGGAATATTCCATATTTTTCCATTACAATATTCCAATGGAATATTTTATATATTATTCCAAACGTAGGACATGTAGATATTCCTAAAATTCGTATTTCTAAATATTTCAAGAAAATATTGCATTAAAACATTATGAATATTCCAAAAGAATATTCCATGAAAATATTAGAAATACTCAGAAAAAAAATTCAATTTAAATATTGGAAATATTTCATTGAAACGTTGCTAATATGTCAGAAGAATATTACATTGAAACATTGGGAATATTCCAAAAGAATATTTCATGGAAACATTAGGGATATTCCAAAAGAATATATTGGAAATATTTTATTCAAATGTTGATAGGTAATATTCCAGAAAAATAATACATTGAAACATTTGAGAATATTCCATTAACATTTCTGGTATATTAAAATATTTGAACTTTGGAATATTCCTTTGAAATAATATAGAAATATTACATCAAAATATTGTGGGTCTATTTAAACAATTTTTGAGCCATTAAAATAAATTATCAATTTGTTTTGAACTAAAAAAGTTGTCAGTTTAAAAAGCAATATTCCATTGTAATATTCCTAAGAAATATTTCATATTTTTCAATTACAGTATTCCAATGGAATATTTCTATATTATTCAAAATATAGGACATATTAATATTCCTAAATAATTCCAAAAGAACATTCCCAATATTCCAAATGGAATACGCCAGGAATGTAAATAGAATACTCCGTGCTATTCGACTTCAAACTCTGTATAATTAATTTTACCTCTGTAATAATCTCTGTTTTATTCTGTTATTTAATATACATAAAATGAAACAAAAAGAAAATTTTTCTCCTTTCTTAACCTTTTCTTTTTTTGCAAAACAACTGTTCTTTTAATCATCGGGGAATTTTTTTTTCCTGGTTCTTTTTTTTTTATTGAGAATAGAAAAAATCGAAAGGAAGCAACGACTTATTTTTCACGTCTTGGAGGGTCTCTCTCTCTCTTGGAATATTTTCTTTTTGTCTCTCATTCATCTCACTTTGCTTTGTTCTTGATAGAGAGAGCAGAAATCGTATCAAAGAACAAAGCATATAAAAGAGATGGATTGATGGAAGAAAAACGGGCCACGTCAGACGTAAATAAATGATAGAGAGGAATCAAAGATTCGATATAGAAGGATAGATAAGCGAGCACACCATGAATCGGCGTGTATATCTTTTGATTTACATCTAAAGATTCTCTCTTTCTCTCTCATCAAAAGACCATTTTAGTAAAATCTAACGTCATCATAAAATGGAAGCAAGAGATTTTATTATTTTTATTTCCGCTATTCAGACAACTATAAAACTATTATATTTTTTTTCTTTCTAAACGTATGTTTTCTTTTTTTTTTGGTTAAAGATATTATTTATTGATAAAAATAAATATTTTTTTTTATTTTTCGAAAAAGGGTAGAAACAAGTCTACAATTAATTCTGCATGACACAAAAAAATTTTTAAAAATTTCTATTTTCGACTCTACATATTTATAATCAGAAAATATCTTCATAAATTTACAGTAATTCAAAATATATTTAGTCTTTGTATATTTAATTGCCTGTATATAAAATTGAATTTATATTAAACTGAAATTTTCCATCAAACCAAATTTCGAATTAATAACATTTTTATTTAGCAATATCCATATTTTCATTAAACATAATTTTCAACGAACTGAATATGCTTAATATTGGACAAATTTTTTTTAAAACCGAACTTAAATTTACAGAGGAATTATAATTTGAAAGGTTTTTTATTTGGCTTAAAAATGTTTTGTTTAATTAAATTTAAGTCAAAATAAATTTTTTTGTAGTTAGAAGATATATTTATAGTTGAAGAGAATTCGTACCGAACTGAATTTCTATTTGGCTAAGAGAAATTTTATTTCACTGAATTTCTACTTCATTAAATTTTTATTTGACTGAAAGAAATTCTATTCAACAGAGTTTTTATTAAAATATAATTTCATTGGGCTAAAAGAAATTCTATTTAATAGAATTTCTACATTTTTATTAAACTAAAAAAATTTTTTCAAAAGAATTCTTATTAAACTAAATTTTTTATTTGGTTAAATGACAATCCATTTAACAGAATTCTTATCAAACTAAATTTTTTTTTGGTTAAATAACAATCCATTTAAAAGAATTCTCATCAAACTAAATTTTTATTTGGTTAAATGAAAACCCATTTAATAAAATTTCTACTATAAATTAAAATTTGTTGGCTATAAAAGAAATTTTATATTTAACAGGACTTTTCTTTTACTGTAATTCTAACAGAATTTATTCTTAACTAATTTTAATAATAATTAATATAAATTCAGTAAAAAAACCTTCTGTAAAAGGTACTTAAGGGGATAACCAAGTCGATTCGATTTTTATATTGATCTTCAATGGGAAAATGGCATCGACTTTGACGCGAATCATTTAAAGGTTATGTTTATGTTATTTTTACTTAAATTAAAATATTGTGTTTAATTTTCTAAACTAAAATGAGTTTTTATTGATTATTCTAGATGTAATAAAAATTTAAACATCAGTCATTTTTGTTTCAAGTTGATCCCCTTTGCGTATTTTCATTCAAAAAATTCCAAACATAACCTACAATTTTTTGCTTCTTAGATACCTTTCATAAAAGCTCATATCAAATATTTATATAATATATAAATTAAAATAAATATTTTTTAACAATAATTAATTAAACTTCTCCAGAAAAAAAAATTTCAAAATTTAATAAAATAAAAAAAAAAATTTTTCTATTTTTTTTCTTCAATCTTAAATTCAATATTTTTCTTACAGGAGGAAAATTTAAAAATTTCGCACAGGTCTTCTGAGAGGTGTTTGTCATGAATTTAGACGTTATTTACGTCTCATATTTTTCTTTCTTCGTTTTTTTTTTGTTAAAAAAAAATTTCAAGTATATTATGAACATTTCTCACGAGAGAATATCAAGAAATACCGACGCACATGAAAATGTTTTTAAACTCTATAGATGATTTCATATATAAAGTTTCTACTATAACGTTTGTCCCTCAAAGCCGATTGTTTCGTCATTATTCTTCACAAGAGTTTGAAATGTGAAAAATATTATAACAAGGCCTTAACCCTTCCTGGTGGTAAAATATTTCTTTACTCAGTTGTACCATTCTTTACCTTTATGTTATGTATAAAATAATACGCAAAACGCAATTTCGATAATGTTCGATTTTGAAATCAGAAGAAAAAATTAACAAAAAAAATTTCTAGTCAATGATATATTTGTTCAAATTCTACGTTTATTTTCAAACTCTAAATTCTACGTTTCTTTTGCTTGCTAAGAATAATAATAAATATGACTAGATCAAATTTTCTATCTTCTAATTCAGGATTGTTACATTTGTAAATTATTTTCTTCACCTGCTTCATAAAAAGTTAAAAAAAAATACTTGAATTTTCTATTACAAAATTTTTTTTCTATTTAATAATTTTTTTAAACTTTTAATTTAAGATAAAATTTTTCTTAGTTTTACATTTTACACTTTTTATACTTTCAACTTCAACTATGAGATAATTATTTTTTTAAAAAAAAGGTTGAATTTTTGGAAAAAATTGTTGACAAAATACAAAATAATTTTTTTTTGTCAACTTTTTGAGTTTGTTTAATTAATAAAGAGTTTTGATTATTAATTAAAATAACTATTGACAAATAAATAACAGACTTAACCGAATAATTTTTTTTAAAGTCAAATTGTAACTTGAAAATCTACATGTATCGGAAAAAAAAGAATATTAATTCTGTATTTTAAATAAAAAGAAATTAATTTGACGCAAATAAGAATTTTTTATTTTAGTGAACAAAAATTTCGATAAAGTGTAAAAAATAAATTTCCATAAAGAAAGCTAAATTACTAAAATGAAATATGAAAGAAGCAATTTATTTTGAAGAAAATAGTAACAAAGTGACAGACCTTCATTAAAAACTAATAGACCTTATTATAAAAAAAATCCTTTGTTGTATTCAACTGCCATTGCTCTAAGTATGTTACTGACGCGAAGCTAATAATATTTATGGCCTAATGATATATTTTTTTGTCTAATCATAAAATAACGCTTCCTAGTTTCTAACTGATAACTGTTCTATAGATTTTTTTCTTTCTCGAAAGAACGAGTTCTTCACAACAATAATAATTATTAATAATAATATTCAATTTTAAACTAAAAATAAAAAACATTCTCTTTTTCATTTGAGAAAACTTCTCGAATTTAAATAACAATTTTCAAAGACTGATTGTTTTAATAACACAATTCCTTTATTCACAAAAAAGAGAATAGACTGAAAAAGTTTTCATTATTATATTGTTGAAAATATTTCCATTGTTTTTATTATCAACAAGAGTTAAAACATTGTAGAGGTGAATTTTTTTAACGAACAATTGAGAACAATTAATAACATTTGTCAAATTAATCTAAAAGTTTTTTATTACAGTTATAATATTAAAAATAAATAAAAACAAATAATCTATTAAAAATAAATTTATTTTTAAATAAATTTTCAAGAATTTAAGTAGATTTTAATTTAAATAATAATAATTATTATTATTGCCTGTTATTATTATTATTATTATTTTGAAATTATTTATTAAAGAAATTGAAATTATTTTACGAATGAAAAATCGTTCTTTCGAGAAAATGTTTTTCATATATATTATTAAAAAAGAAAATTATTTGAAAAAAGTGAAAAATAAGAGAATAATAAAGATAAAATATTGAAAGACTCACCAAATTGTCGGCATGAAGACGATGATGATAATCCCGCGAATTTCCACGAGAACTTCCGGGTGAACTGTGTCGACGTCCTCGATCATTATCAATTTCGTCGTCATAATCCTGGAAAAGAAAGAAAAATAATACGGTTATTAAAAAAAAAAGAAAAAAAAATTAGTAAAATAGAAAATTAATTCTCCCCTCAATTACAATATTTTTCCTTGTTATTTCAAAACACTCAAATGTTTACATTTATATATAAATAATATATTCAATTTCAAACCAGGTAAACATATTATTTTTATTGAAACAAGAGAAGAAAAAACACATAAATGAGAAAAAACTCGATTTCAGAGAGTCGATTACGCGTTTCTTTGTACCTGATTATCACACTCGTCATCGTTGGAGAGGGCGAGGTCAGAAGTGGCGACCTGGTACTGATGAATCTTTCTGCAGCCCATTCTGCAATGTGCCCAAAATCCGTAAAAACCAGTTTCTTTTTTTTTGATTTCAAAATATTTTTAATTCCCGAGATAAATAAAAATTTCGATAATTTTCCACATATTTAGTTTACTTTCGGTATAGGTACTCAAGAGTCTTTACAGCAATTAATAAATTGAATTTCATTAAAGTCTTTGGATTTAATTTTTTGTTTTGGAATTTTTTCATCCAACTTTAAAAATTCGTCAGTATAATTATACTGACCAAAAACATATATTCCATTCAAATAATTTGTTTTCTCGACTATTATAGTCGTTATTTTAATAAATAAAAAAATTATGTTATAAATTTTCGCGCGATTATTTTCACGTGAATTATTATATGTGGGCAATTCCACGTGAGATTTAAGTCGACCTCTTAAAATCGGCCAAAAATATTTTTTTTCTATTCTGTATCGAAAAAAACAGATACGTATTTTTTTATTTTTGTTTAATTGTCAAAATTTTCGAAATTTTGGACTTTTATTCGCAGACCTATATTCAGTAGCTTATAAGTCCGAAAATGTTGAGTTTAGAAAAAAGTTGTCAAAGAATGAAAGTTTTAGTTTTCTTTAGACTTTTAAGAAATGTAAACAAAAAAATTTTTTTTTAATTTTTTATTAAAAAAAAATTTTTTTTTTATAAACAAATTAATTTTTTTTAACTTTGAGCCGGATTTAAAAAAATTTTTTTTAAATTTATTTATACCTTATAATATAGAGAAGATTTTCCGAAATGTCCCGAAATGGACCTGATGTGTTAAATGAGTTTTAAAACATTTTCAAAAATCACTTGCAAGCATCATATTAAAATATTAAAATTCTTCTCCAAAATTAAATTATTTTCAAAAATTTTAATAAAATTCTTGAAAAAATTCAATTATTTAGAGAAACAACGAAATTCTTCGAATGTATTCAATTATTTTTTTAAATAGTAAAATTCTTTGCAAAAATTCAATTATTTTTAATACAATTTTAACAAAATTTCATGAAAGAATTCAATTTTTAAATATAATTTTAATATCATTATTCGAAAAAATCCAATTATTTTATAAAATTTTAACAAATTCTTCGAAACAATTCAATTATTTTTAAAAGTAATAAAATTCTTCGTAAGAATTAAATTATTTTTAATAATAAAACTCTTTTCAGGAATTCAATTATTTTTAATACAATTAGTAACAAATTCGAATTGTATTCAATAAATTACAGAAATTATTCGAAGGAATTCAATTATTTTCTAAAAATTTTAATAAAATTCAAGAATTAAAAATGTTTAATCTCAGCTCTTAAGAAATACGATTATTGTAAAAACTTGAATATAAAATTCAATTACTTTAAAAATTTTCAATTGAAATTATTAAAGAAATTCCATTGTATTTTAAAAAAATTCAATGAAATTCTTCAACAGAATTTAATTAGGATATCAAAAATTTCAATAAAATTCTTCCCAAAATTTCAATTATTTTCAAAAATAATAAAACAAAAATGAAGAAAATCATAAAAAAAAAAATCATGAAGAAATCGATCACTCCGAGTCGAAGACTCGGAGTTATCGATATCTTCATGTTTTATTGTTATGAAAAATTTACTTTATAGTTTTAAGTAAAATTTTCTCTTATTTTACTCGGACTGGTTATATTTTTGTCAGCAATTGGTCCGTAATTTTTCATTTTTGGTCCCTAAAGTCCGTATTTTTAAATACTTTCACTGGTTCGAGCACTGCGTTAGGTGTAAATGTGCAATTAAAACAGAATTTAAATCATTTTCCCAATAACATTTTTTTTATTATAAAACAGTTTTAGAAGAATAAAATGGTTTAATTTCTCCACTTGAGAACGCTAAGATCGCCACTAGATGGCGAGGAATCTGATTTTATTGACTCAACTGCCATCTAACGGTGACCTTGGCGTTCGCAGGTGGAGAGTTGCATCTCCATATTGAATCTCAAAATATTCGTCAATATTCGTAATTTTATAATTATTTATAATCAAATCTAGAGAGTTTGATTTGATATATATAGTAATTTTTTCGAACACTTTTTTCTTTAAATATTTAATAAATTGAGCCGAAATTTTGTACGAAAGTCTAAAATACAATAATGAAGGCAAGTGATGTGCAAAAGTTTTAATATGTTTAAAATTAATTATTACAAATACCTTTAAAATTGAGGCTCCGGATCTTAAACGGGCACTTTCACCATTTAAAATCAATGCTGAAAGTGCTCTTTTAAGATCCGGTGCCTCAATTATCAGTTGTAACGGTCACATCTAATCAATTTCTCGTCTTTACCGATTTCAAAGTGTTTTATTTTTATTATAATTTATTATTGAATTATTAAAACTTTTGCACATCACTGCCCTTCTTTATTACATTTTAGACTTTCTTACAAAATTTCAGATCAATTTATTAAATATTTAAAGAGAAAAGTGGTCGAAAAAATTACCATTGAGAACTTAACAAAATCACATGCTGTTAAAGAAAGTTTAATTGAAAGTTAGAGTATGTTTTAATTTAATTATTGCTAGATAGTAGATATAAATTAAAGAATTAACTACACAGAAAGAATGATATTCGAAAATTTAAGAATATAAAATTTTGGATCCTATTTAAGTATTTTTCCATGTATTTTATTCTTAAAGTTAAAATATAATATTATTGAAATAGGAAAATATACTTAAAGAGGAGCTAAGGTTATATTCTTAAATTAAAAATATAGTTTTTCAATGTATTAAAAACAATTTTAATATTTTTAGTAACTGGTGTAAATTAATGTAAGAATAATGATATATTATTATCATTTTGGGTTTGTTATCGACTAACATTTTAATAACTATAAAAAAAAATTGTCATTCTTACTTTTATTACTATTTTGATTTTAATTAACATTTATTAATCTTTAAGTTTAACATTTAAAGCACAAGAAAAAAATGTTGAAATTAAAGAGAAAGTCAAGCAGCTTTGTTACACACAGGAAGTAAATCATAATCCCTTTCATGCTCAATGATTTGCCATCTGTCGTTACCATAAAACTGGACTAGATCCAGGAAACATGAACGACATTGCTCTGGACCAAGAGCTTTATATACATATACAGCTTCTACAATCTCATCTCTATTCCATATATCGGAGATTCTCTTTACATTTTTCCCAATTTCTTCTTCCGTTTCTCCAACTTCATCTCTCTCTCTCTCTCTCTTCCTCCTTCTATCGCCACTCGAATACATTGACATTTTCCTGTATACGAGATGAATCGATTTACATCTGGTGATAATTTACTTTGGCCCAATTTCAAGGGACGTAAGTTTTCAATGTCCTTGCATATTTGCACAGCTATTCTTTTTGCTTCTTTTTCTTCTTCATCATTCTTTTATCTTTTTTTTTTTTAATTTAAACTTCAGTAATTTACATTTTCCTGTAGGCAATTAATTCGATTGTCGTCCTCGTCGATATTCAAATCAGATTCAAACGAAATTGATTATAAAAAAAAGGGGGAGAAAAAAAATGTCAAACTTGTTAAGATAGCCGAGACACATAAAATGTATAATATGCTTGTTTGCAATCTGTGAAATTAATCGCCAGTCAGTTGAAAATTAATTAGCTACTGATTTATTTCAAACTAATTTTTATAATTGTTATTGCATTGTAATCTCTTTGTTTAATCTTTTAAAATACCTCCAAACTTATTCAATTTAAATTGTATAATTAAATCGCAGTCTCTTCAACTCATGGAAGTTTTTATGGTCCGGAAAATTGCGAAATCTCGAATGGAAAATTCCTTGGAAAACTGAAAACAAATTTAATTGATTCAAATAACTGTTTACTTGTCTAATATCAAATAAATATTTACATAATTTTTATTTAAATCACATAAACTGTATTTCAAGCAATAATTTCAATATATCTATTTAAAACAAATATAGCATTTAATTCATCGAAATAAAAATTATTTTATGCAAATTAATATTTATTTGCTAATAGTTAAGAAATTGTTTATTTGAATCAAATAAATTGTTTCCAGTCCCTATATTGGTTGGAGGATGAAAGTTCCATTTTGAAAAAAAAAGTTCCAATAATTCTTTGTTCTAAAAGCCAAAAGTTCCAATAATTTTTTTTTCAAAAACCAAAAATTCCAATAATTCTTTTTCCAAAAACCAAACGGTCCAACATTTTTTTCAAATTCAAACTTCAAATTTAGAAACTTTTTCGTGCCGTATTCCATCACTTCTAAGAATTACGAGAAACAAAATGGCGGCGGACAAATAAAACAGCTGATCCACTTGAAATTTTATAATTCGTCTAAATTTCAAATTAAATGGAATTAAATGACGATATTTTTTCAAAACAATTTTTCCCAATGGCAAGAATGTGATTTATGTGTTAATAATATTATTAAACATAATTTATCTAAATAATTTAATTAATTAAGTTAAATACCTAATTTAATAGGATTGTATATAATTTAAAAAAAAATTACTATTTCATTAATATTTTTTATCATTTAATTATTAATAGCATGTGCTATACAATTAAAAATAATAATTATTTATTTAATAATATATTTTTTATTCCGTGAATTTTTCTCAGATTAATTCAATTTTTTATTGTACGTTGGCACTTGTGTATTTTGGTATTTTCAACATTGGGACTTATTTATATTGGATAACATACTTATTTTGGAACTTCTCCAGATTGAAATTTTTTTAAATTAGACATTTTGCATATTGGAACTTTTGTCCTACAATCCCTATGTTACATATATTAATCTAAATCTTTTTGAGTTCAATAAAGAACCTTGTAACATAATTGAAAATTTTACAATTTTAATTTAATCATATCTTTTATTATAATACTCAATTGGAATAAATTATATTCTTATTCAAACATTGTTTATGTTCATTAATTCAACAATATTTTGCATCAATAATTTCACAAAAAGTCAAGATAATAAACATATTCAGATTATTATTACCTTCTAATTAAC